GGCAGCCCCCTCGGCAAATGCCGCCCCTCCGGCTCCACCGCGGCCCGAGCGGCTGTTTAATTACAAGCAAATGAAGTTTCTGCCTCCCTCTCTTTTGGGGATGTGAGGTGCCGTGGCAGCGTCGCGGGGTTTACTCACTCCGAAATGACCCATGCACTGGGCCACCATTGTAAGGCCACACTGTAGCGTGCTCTTTGTTCTGACAGCATGGCAGCACGGGTCTCTTTTACATGTACGGGTCCCATTCCTCTTTGGGGTCCTTGCATATGCCACAGCCTTCAGAGAATATTAAATCTCCCGTTTATGGCAAGAACTTCAGCCCAAGAAGCTGAAGTGGGGCCATTTTTACATCCAACAGTTGCGCGAGGCTCCCAGCCAAGCCCCTTGGGCCAGTCCTGCTGGGGTGCAAATGGAAAAATGCCAAGAGATGGGGTGAAAGATCACAAGGTGCTTGAAGTGATTTTAAACTTTATAGAAAAATGGCCCATCCAAGTGACAAACCAAAGGGCAGAGCTCAGTCTGTGATGTGCAGGAGCAGAGAAGGAGCTGGAGGGATTGAAATCCTCTCCAGAACACAGATCAGGAGCCAAAAGACTCTTGAGGAGGTAGAAGAACCAGGGTGGAAACAAGGTCTTTTAAGGTTGTTACCCTCTCCAAGGTCTATATGCTCACCTGTGCCACGCTGTGAATAAAGCATGCTTCTCTTAAAAATCCTTCAGCCAAGAGCAAAGTGCTTCTGGCTTTCAGTCAGCTAGTCCCTGAAGATCAAACCGTGGACAGGCACTGTCAGGAGCGGGGAGCTTTCAGGGAATGAACTATCAGAAACTATTAGGAAAACTGATGGGGCTTAGCCTGTGCCTCAGATCCATCTGCAGCCAGTCCCTAGGGTCCCATCTTCCAGAGAAGGGGTGTCAGACAAGCGCAGACATGCAGGTGTTGGGATGCTGTTGTGACACTGGACTTCACAGCAAAATGAATGTAAAAAAACAGGCCCTGCACAGGAAGGGAGCTCAGCCAGGGCTATAACAAGCCATTCAGTAATTTACTTAAGCCACACTTAGATCTCATTTGCACAGGGAGGGAGAATTACCTCTTCAATCACATCCTAAACAGCCCCTCCACCATGGTTCGTGTCCCCCGCAGACACATTGGAACAGTTGCCTTGGGTTAAGCAGTGCGTGGCCTCATTTGTCTCGACTTGTTAAAGCTGAAATCTCAGGCTGAAATACAGATAGAAATTTATGATCATGAGCTATTTGCCATGGATCATTTTTGCAACCTCTGGCTGGAGCCTGCAGGTAAAAATCAGCTGTTAGCCCTGTGTATGTCAGCCAGGAGGGTCTTTTAGTCAGGCTGTTCTGACACCTCCTGACTGCTGAAAGCCAGCCTGGATGGCTGACATGGACTTTGGAGGACAGCGTTAGCTAAGCTCAGTTTTTGGGATGGATTTTTTTTTTTTTAAGAGAAAAATATGTGGATGCCCAGCTGTCTCATCCCCTTTTAAATAGCTATTGCAACCTCTTGCTCCACCCACACAGCTTTCTGCGTGCAGGATGTTAATCCATTTTATCTTTTAATGTTGGCATTATCTCTTGACTCACCCCATCTCTTCCCCTTGTGATTGTGCACTCCAGGTCCCTTTTAGGCAGCAGATAATTCACCTTATTCCCCTGCATTGCCTGAGAAAATAAACCATAAATTCAGAATAATCTCCCAAGCAATGGGGTCACCAGAGCCCCAGAGAAGACTTTGAGAACATGGTTTCTCTCAGTCAGAAGCCAAGACATGAGGCTGTAAAGTCACCTGTAAGGGACAGAGACCAGGAAGGGTGTGATTAACAGCACAGAGTGACACCCCTCTCTCCTGCAGCTTCTATAACAACCAGTTCAGTATCTGGTTCTCCAGCTGCTCATCCTGCCTGCATCTGCCTCCTGCATGCCAGGCCAGCAGCACCAGCTTCACCCCTTGTAGGTGTGTACCACCTGATGCCCTGGGACATAATTCTGGAGCTGGTTCTTCCCGTCCTAAAGTCCCAGTTCCGAATGTCATTGGCAAGAAAATTACCACCTGGCATCATCAAGGAGAGAGTCAACAGTGAAAGCGGATACTTTTATGTTTCTTATCTTTTTCCTTACCTTTCATAACTAAGGTGGATTAAATCAAAAACTCTTGTGAAAAGTGGCACATAAGGACAACATAGGACCTTACCAATAACCCACATAATACACATTCTATTCAGAAATCATATGCTAGGCTAGATTTAACCAGGATTAGGATCTGGTTCCTAAAGTGTCTGTAATAATTTTACTTCCTAACAACTTAAAGCAAAATAAAATCAGTGGCACCATGGCCACGTTAGAGCAGGACTGGGTGCACCTACACATGACCAAATGCCCAGTTGCTCTAGGGGTAAGCTGCGCTGTGTAAATGCTAACACAATCCTCAATGCAATTTCATTCCTTATCTGTGTGTGCCTTCACCATGCTTCACCTATTTATTCTCTCTCCTCCAGGCTTCTGATCAGCATCCAGCACACATCTCCAGAGCACAGGGTGATGGGAGCTCCCACGCTCTGCTGAAGATGCTGTCAAGCTCTCTGCATTTCCCAGGATCCAGAGACTAAGCTGCTCGCTGGACTCATCCTGCACTGTAGCCAGGCGAGGAGCAGTGTGTGTGTCTGGGTGGTTGTAGACACAACCTCTTCCATCAAATGTGGGGTGGGATGAAGCCCCGGCTTATGAAACCATCTCCCAGTTACGCTGATCTGCAGAAACACCAGCTCATTTATCTGCAACCTTGAGAGAACAGCTTCTGGGGAAGCAGAAAGCAGGTTGGAGACATCTTTTCACCTGCAATGGCAGCTCAGAAACGGTCACCCCTGCCTGAGATGTTAAAGCAAAGGTGAAGTTTTCAGTACAAAGTGGCACCAAGGGACAGTGAGACTTCCAGCAACTTTCTTGCAAGTAGATTGGAAAAATTATGTGCTCAAGGGTGTCATTTGTGTTAATGTAGCCAAAGGATTCTGAGAAAGATCCCAGGGTTTCTGTCACTCTCTGAGTTAACAGTTCACATGTTCCACTGCTGCTCGTGTCTAGAGCAGTCACAAGAACTTCACACTTCAGCCATGAGCTCTTTTGTGATTTTCCAAAGTTCAAAAATGAGAGGCCTGTACTTCCCTGCACAGCATGGTGAATTTGGGAATTCTGAGATTTGGTCAGAAAACACAAAGACCCCAACTCTAAATTCTGGTAACACTCTTAGCCCTCTGCTGGAGAAGCCCTTCAATGTTGCAAGAGTTCCTCACTGCAAGACCTCTCTTTCATCTCTGAGGAGCCTGAACAGAGGCAGGATTGAATTCCTTATGCCTAAACCAGCATGCCATACGTCCACCTGGCAGCCTCTTCCCACACACACAACCCTTTTTTTCTGCCTTCTTCAGGTCTGCTCTTTTTCTTGCTCACCTTTTCTCCCTGTCAGTCTATTTCCTCAGTGATCTTTAGTCCCTCTGCCTTAGACAGGCTGTGTAATTGCATGCTATCTAAAACCCAGGAAGGACTCTTAATAAAAGATGGATATATATTAGCATAGCATACCCCTGACACTCTGCTCAGATTCAAAATGATCTGTTCATACTCTTTTAAACTGACAGTGTGGAACTGAGCATGGATCACATGCATCAGGGAAATAAATGCTACCTATTTTTATTATTAAGATCTCTTATTGGTTATACAGGCAGTGGCCTTGTCTTTATGCATTAAACGCAATCTTTATTAATGTTCATGTTCTCATTTGTACAGTGGCTGATTTGGAGGCAAGCAGAGCCATGAATATATTGGT